CAGGAACGGTTGGACTATCAGCTGGCTCTGCAGCGCAAAGTAGGTACCTTAAAAACGTTTTATTGACTTTTATTTAATTTAGCGATCAACCCGATTAAAAGGAGAATAACTTTTTAAAAAAAAAACCGAATTGTTTTATTCGCTCCACGGAAAAAAGTTTAATTACGAATATGTTATCACTTTACAGTGATAAGAAACAGTTGATAACAGATGCAGACAAGTGATATGAGATCAGTGATAGAGATAAATTTAAAAGGACATCTGATAACAGCTCCTGATAAGAGAACATTGATAAAGGACGGCTGATAATGGATTCTGATAAGAGATCAGTTAGATTTTGATTAAATAGTTGACGGTAATGTTAGATTAAGGTTAGGAGGGATCTATTGGATTGACAGGGGAGGTAAGGAAAGAAGAGTATGGTAGGACCGTCAGATAGGTCAGAGGGGAAACACATACCAATGTTTTTTCGTGTCTTTTATTAATGTGTTTTTTTTTTGTGCATTTTAGATTTTAGACGTCCAAAACCAGCGAAAGGATCCTTATAAAAATTATGTGCCGTTCGACGAGACGGAGGATTCAACTGACTGTAATTTTGTTGAAGCAATAATAATTGTCGTCTTCTTGTTTTTCCTTTGTCGGTTTTTGTGCATTTCATTAAACTAGAACAAAAAAAAAAATATCCCGTAACTTACTATTGTACATTATTATTAACCATGTATTATTCTCGTTTTTTTTTATAAGCCCATATACAGCATAAGATATTAAATAATTTTATACTAAACCACTACTATTTGAATCTTTTCAGATATCACCTAACCCGTTGAAAGCAAACTTAATACAATAATATGTTTATTCTATTTTGTGAACACTTTTTTTGTATAGTTGTTTATGTCTAGTCGATATTAGTTTTAGAAAAAAAAAATCGCATACCTACTACCAAAAATTAAAAGGATAATATTGATAACTTTTTTATGTTAAAAGGACAAAAGAAAGGCAATAATTGATTAAATTTATCTAGGATGTCGTTTCTAATTTAATATGACAAAAGTTAAATTTTAAAATTAAACGAGTATGACATTTTTCTAGTTACAAAACTTTATAAGTTATTTTTCAGTGAGTTATGGAAAAAGTTTGATAAAAATAACGGCATTCGTAGAGATCATTTTATAGAGTCAATATAGAGCTAATTGACGGATTTCATTTTAATATTTTTTTTGTAGAAAATTTGTTGAAATCTATAAGAAATATTTATTTAGTATGCCCACACATGTCAGCTGTATCATATTTAAGTTATACCCATTTCCCTTCCCCCTTGGGAGGGTGCAAGTTTTTTTGGTTTTTTGGGTTTCTTAGCCGATTTTAGGACCTTTAAGTTGAAAATTTGTCAGTAGTTAGAACTCAAATGTATCCATAAGATGTTAAACGGAAAAAAAATTCGGCACTTCAGTTTTTCATTAATTGCCGGAAAACCGTGTTTTTCGCAGAATTCGTATATTAACACCTAAAATCTGAAAAAAATGTTAAAATCACTTTCGAAAAAACGCTTTGGTGGAAATCAGAAGTTAGTATTTTCAAGTCAGTACAGTCCAAACCAAACACAGAGTAAGCCAGCCAAGTTAGAAAGTATTAAATTGATGTACTGTATTTACAAATAGGCATCAAAGCGTTTATTTGAAAGTGATTTTATCCGAGAGGAATAGTACAGTAGAGTATAGTCATAATGGAATCAAAGCATAGAGGGGACGGAGAGGTTACACGTCTACAGGAATTATTATAAATAAAAGTGATAATAGTGAATAAAATAATAAATAATATAATAATAAAAAAATATAAAACAATAAATAAAATCACCATAATAACAAATGTTTTCTTAAAATATTTTTATTAAAACTGCCGAGTCATCATATCATGTTCACAGGACATTAGCTATGTACTTTTGCTAGGTGCAATTTGAGAGAAGATTTGTGTTTAAACATTTTCATACATAAATCGCACTTATAGGGCTTATAAATCGCACTTTTCGCCTGCATGGACACGCTCGTAACTTTTTAGGTTCGAACTTTGGCTAAAAGTTTTATCGCAAACTGTACATTTGAAAGGCTTCTCGTGATTATGTCTTACCAATTCAGATTTATATGGAAAAGATCTTAAGCAGACATCACAACTAAAACGGCTTTTGTCGATTCTATTATACACATCACTACTGATATCTGGATTTTTAATTGTAGTTTTTCTATGAGAGAGCTTTACCTTTGAATTGCAGTTGTTGGATTTCGCAAAATGACGGACGATATTTATTTTTTTAGTAAACCTCTTTTGACATACATTACACTGAAACGATCGTGATTTATTTGGAATTGTCTTTGTTTTTTTATCCGTACTGGTTAGCTGTCTTAATATTATAGCGCTTCGTTATCGTCTCCGTTTGAGGTGTTGCAATTACCCAGAGTATGAACACTAAAATAAATATTAAGTATAGTTATTAAAAAAAATTATTATGACCCGGATATTCATGTTTATCTTTCACAATGCACCCATTTTTATATAAATTTGAATTTGAATGATGACGCTGTACATGGATTAAATAAAGGACATAAGTAACTAAAAATTATGTTTAATTTTTTTTTTTTTAATCAATTAATGTTCCAAACTGACAAACCCCATGTAAAATGCAGTAATGTCATTTAATCGACTTGTTATAAAGTTTATAATGAGTAATTATTTATTCTGGATGAAATTGTTTATATTAAAAATGGATGCAGCACACTAGTAAGTTGTAGTGTTAAAGCAGAGACTGGCCAACGAACACTGTTGTAACTACTGAATTGTCATTGAAAAATATAGAAAAACATTAATTAATTTTTAAAGCTAAGGTTGTTTTGGCATTTTTCAGAAAATTACTAAAATTTATTAGATCGAGTTATTACAAATTTAAATAAATTTGGGTTAAACTACTTAGGTTAGACCAAGCATATTAGCTACTTTATGTATGAGTATTCTTATGTATATTATAACATTTTCCTTACCTTTGTTGATTTTTTTTGTCTATTGGAGAAGTTGGCACGTCAAAGGGCCAATTTTCTTCTATTTCAATAACGGATTCAAACCTCCATCTTCCCGACTTCTGTGTTGGGTTAGTTGCATATTGCTCTTAGATAAGAAAATATTTACAGCTTAGATATAGTGTTGTAGCAAATAGTTGTCTTTAAAAAATCATATTACTTGTTCGTGTTTCCATCGATTTTATTTTTCTTATTAACGGTCGAACTACTACTCTGCGTTCCTTTAAAGTAATTTGGTTTCATATTTTCCAATGAGTTATCGCTTGGTTGTCTGTTTATTATCTTCTTTTGGTTTTCTCTTTGTCACACAGTTACTCTTACAATGTTCCTAATTTTGTTAGATTTTGGTTTTAATTTCTGTGTACTTCCAGTAAATTTAAAAAATCGGACGTCGTCGGATAAAATATGGTCGTCAAATTATTAAAATAAAGTACCGCTAACATCTGGCCGTCAGATATCTCCTTGGGATCGGACTGAACTTCTTTACCGCGTCTTTGGACGCATCAGTTGCCAAATTTTCCCACATTTGTTTATAAACGGATGAAAACTGTTACGCAGGCAAGTTGCGCTATTTGATGCTATCGATGTGGTTATCACGTTTATGGGGTGTATCAAGTAATAATTATTATGATTAATTCTGACAAATATTTCATTTTTTTTTTAATTTGTTGTTGTTTCAATAAACAGTGAAAATTTATTGGAAAATCGCAATACATTTGTATACCGAGTACAAAATGAAATAATCAATAATAATAAATGAAATAATTTTGTGGCGTAGACGGTACTTAGAGAGTATAGAGAAATGCCGAGAGTAAGTGAACAACACAACCTACAAATTAGGAGATGTAAAAAAATTATTGATGGCGTGTGACTGCTGACATGTGGAAAAATTGTATCAACTACACAAAAAAAGAGGAATTAACATTTATTAGTTGTTTCAAATTACAATAAACAATTATAGGTTTATGTTAAAATTAGTACTTATAATTTATATTTCTTTTATAACAACTTCTAACTACATATTAGTGCATTTTTTAAAAAGAAAATCGAATACAATTTTTTTTTAAGAGTTCGGATAGTTTTCTGTGTTTTGCTATTATCATAAAACTAATTTAGATTATAATTTTGTATCTGTTAATAATTTTTGGTCTAGACGTTACATTAATTTTTACATATTATACGCTTTATACATAAGTATAATATAAATTTATAAAGCAATATTCATAAAGATAAAGAAAAATCTCGATTTTTAGGTGTAGTAATAGTAAATAATAATAGTAACAAGTAGTAAAAGTCTGATGGATGATTTTAAAAAATTGTATTGTCCGAAAACCGCCGGTTTAATCTTACACTGACTTGACTGATAAAAATAAAAGTATTGTACATAATGACAATATTATGAGCTTAAAAGTTTTAGTATTCGAGTGGGTACTAAAAAAAAAAAAAAAATTTTGAGAAAATAGTTCCAAACCTTTGTTCCAATTTTCAGACTCAAATCTCTAAAACTTTGCTTAAAAAGGTGAAATAAAGAAAAAACGTTTATCCCATATAGGGCAGAGGGCTTATGATATTTTTTTGGTTTGTAACTGTTTAAAAAATATTCCATACAAATTTGGAATTAATTTCACTATTTTTAAAAACTCTATTGGACAATGTAATTTTTAGCTGAATAATGTGTACATTTTTTGGGCGTTTTCTCGATTTTAAGGGGAAGGGATGAATTTTTTTAAATTTTTAGTCCAATAAAGTACCTTTTAGGTACAAGTTCTGATCTATAGAGATGCTACACAAAGAACCGATTTGTGGTGCTGTCTTAATGCCTAATAAAGATAAAAAAAATTGTCTTGACAAAACTTTAGATAACAAACATGTAATATTATATTATTATACAACGAAGGAATGGGCATAATAATATAGTAATATTATTAAGATAATTCAGATCTCTTCGCCTCCTTCGCCCTCGCCCTCGACTGAGTCCATGCCCACTTCCTCGTAGTCCTTTTCCAGAGCCGCCAAGTCCTCTCTGGCCTCGGAGAACTCGCCTTCTTCCATGCCCTCTCCGACGTACCAGTGGACGAACGCGCGTTTGGCGTACATCAAATCGAACTTGTGGTCGAGCCGGGCCCAGGCCTCGGCGATGGCCGTCGTGTTGGACAACATGCACACGGCCCGCTGCACCTTGGCCAGGTCACCGCCGGGCACCACGGTTGGCGGCTGATAGTTGATGCCCACCTTGAAGCCGGTCGGACACCAGTCCACGAACTGTATGGTCCGCTTCGTCTTGATAGTGGCTATGGCGGCGTTCACGTCCTTGGGCACCACGTCACCGCGGTACAGCATGCAGCACGCCATGTACTTGCCGTGTCTCGGGTCGCACTTGACCATCTGGTTGGCCGGCTCGAAGCACGCGTTGGTGATCTCGGCCACGGACAGCTGTTCGTGGTACGCCTTCTCGGCGGATATCACCGGCGCGTACGTGGCCAGCGGGAAGTGGATGCGCGGGTACGGCACCAGATTCGTCTGGAACTCGGTCAGGTCCACGTTGAGCGCGCCGTCGAACCGCAGCGACGCCGTAATGGACGAAACGATCTGGCCGAGCAACCGGTTCAGGTTGGTGTACGTCGGCCGCTCGATGTCCAGGTTCCGGCGGCAGATGTCGTAGATGGCCTCGTTGTCCACCATAAACGCGCAGTCTGAGTGTTCCAGCGTGGTATGCGTGGTCAGGATCGAGTTGTACGGCTCGACCACCGCGGTGGACACCTGCGACAGAAAAATCAAGTTTGTTTAACAAAGACATTTTCCCCATTGAAATATTATTTATAGCGTGTTACCTGAGGCGCGGGATAAATGGCAAACTCCAGTTTGCTCTTCTTGCCGTAGTCGACGCTCAGGCGTTCCATGAGCAGCGACGCGAAACCCGAACCGGTGCCGCCGCCGAACGAGTGGAATATCAAAAAGCCCTGAAGGCCGGTGCACTGGTCGGCCAGCTTCCTGATGCGATCCAACACCAGATCGACGATTTCCTTTCCAACGGTGTAATGTCCGCGGGCGTAGTTGTTGGCGGCGTCTTCCTTGCCGGTGATCAGTTGTTCGGGATGGAACAGTTGGCGGTACGTGCCGGTGCGCACCTCGTCTGCGAATCGTCGAGAGAGGACAGATCAAGGTCAAACACGGATCAAGTAAAAAGCGGTAAGTGGTAAGGGCGTTTAGGTCAGTCCCCCCCTCCCCCCCCCCCGAAACAACTGCTGAGAAGGGGAGAGAAGTGGTTCGAAAGGAGAGAGGATGAGAAGAGAAAAAGGAGGGGATGGCGTATTGAGACAGAAAATCAACTGAACATAAGACGTATTTAATAAGATATTTATTATTACCGACGACGGTGGGTTCCAGGTCGATGAAAACGGCTCTGGGCACGTGTTTGCCGGCTCCGGTCTCGCTGAAGAACGTGTTGAAACTGTCGTCGCCACTACCGATGGTCTTGTCTGATGGCATTTGCCCGTCCGGCTGGATTCCATGCTCCAGACAATACAGTTCCCAACAGGCGTTGCCGATCTGCACTCCGGCTTGGCCAACGTGCACAGAAATACATTCACGCTGGAACCAGGCAAATTCGATTAAACCCATAACATTACAACTTATGGAAACTGGCGACCATCCCCCTCCCCTTCTGCTCTATTTTCACGGGCAATAATGGGAACAAAATAACAATTACTTTTTAGATAAATTAGCAAACTTTATAAAATCCAAGAAAAAGATGGATTAATCACTTTGATTTGTTTGCGTTTGTTTGTCTATCTTATATATTATTTAGTCTATACATAATATATTTAAAAAACATAATAATACTTTTTTCTTAGTAATTAAATCGGTTTTCCGCTATTAAAGAAACATAACAAAACTTTTCCAGGCAAGGCAACTCAGTAAAACAAATATGTTTTCAATCCCTTTGAGAAAATACATTTTTGACGAATTAGAATACATTCTTTCACGAAATGCGTTTTTAGAATAACACATTTTTTGCATATCTAAAATACAGTACATGCTTCCAAAATACAACAGACCGGGCAAGCGTACAAACCTTTCAACTTAATCGGCTCTAATTTCTAACATAAACTAATCGTATAACGGATTATATTCTGTAGGGTTATTAATATTATAATTATTAACGAGACTGGCAATACACTAATCGGACAACAGCTTTCGAAACAAAATTTGCGTTAAAATTCCGAAAGACTGCGATTAAGAAATAACAAGACAATATTAGTCAACACGACCAGCCGACAGCGCCCTACCTAACCGTAATAATATTAGCGCTGTTATAAAAAATAATATATAAAGTACAATGATTTAATACTCACCATTATGAAATGTTTATCGACGACAAACGAACAACAATAATATCAGAATACGACAAATAACACGAACAGACGCAATCAAAATTTAACGGATGAAAATTTTCAAACGATCAGAGTCAAATTGAAATTGTGCTTGTAAAATGTAAAACAGTAAAATGGTTTCTACCAGCACGACTATAATATAGCCAGCAAACTTCTTGTACAAGATGGCGGAAAACAGCTGACCGATGTGTACCCGTTGAACACATCGGTTATAGTTAATATTTTGCAATAATAACGGCGGGAAATTTAAAAATCGAGGCGAATAACATTGCTCAATTCGCATTTCTTTGGTGTTCGGCTAAAGGGGGTATAAGACAAAACTCGATAATTTTGGGAAAATTTAAACACAAATTTGAAAATTGTTTTGGTCTGATCCACCTATATAGAAACAAATCGTACCTGCTAGTTAATTAAATTATTTTCAAACTATATTACTGTACCGCAAGGCAATCATTTCAAAGTTAGTGAACTTAGACAAATTGTAATGAAAATTAAAAACATATTTTTTTTGCACATAATTTTTATTGTCATATCACAAAAGCCAATTAACAAAAACTAGTTATGTCAAGGGTATCAAAGAGATAAGTCAAATTGGCCCAGGCTTATAATATTATGTGTGCTTCAAGGGGTAAGTGAGCTATCCACTTTTGAGCAAACTTCAGCTTAAATATTTTTGTACTAATAACCCCAAATAAGAGTTATGAAAAGTGACCGTACATTGTTAAAGAGTTTAAACGATTTTTTTTGTTTTTAAAATAATTAGTACCTTCTTAAACCTTTTTAAAAAAATATTCCTACTGCACAAATTACACGTTATGCATTGACAACAACTTTGATTTGAAACTGAACTAGAAATACACTTTTTTTTCAATTTTTAACTGAATCATAATTTGGCATCAGATTAAAAAAAAACATAATTTTCTCACTTCGTTTTGTCTTTTAGGCGATGCCATCTATTTATTAAAACAATTCGGTTTTAAACTAAAACTTGAGTTTATATTTATTAATTATTATTTACTAGTATGACGATTCCTTATTATTGGCAATTTAATACAATTTAAAGAACTAGTAAATTTAAGGCTGTGCGATTTTCATACTTTCTTAGACATCCTTTTTAAACTGTCAGTTATTAATTTGGCATTCAACACTTTTTGAAATTTTTTTTATTTTATAATTCCAGTGGTGTTTTACATAGTATAATTATTATGTAATAGTTGTTTTCAAAATTATTTTACTGACCAATTGGTTACATTTGAAGACCAGTCCGATGACGGCCAAAACATTTTTCAATCTATTCTTTTCATATTTTTAAATTTGAATAAAAGTTTTTTTAACAATATTAATTTTTTATTTACATTTTGTAAACTATATAATTTTTAATTGAGAACAAATTTGTTTTAAATTAACTCGACATACAGAAGTCAAACAGTGAACACCTCTATATTTCTTCCAAGCAGCGTTGTAAAACATAATTTTTTATTATATATTAACATTTGAAGTATATCAATTACAAATATACAGACAATTTTAATAATATTCAAATAATATCACTGGAATAATTTACAACACTGCTAACAGTATTTATGTGCAAATCAATGTTGTATACAAATTTAAAATTAATACATAACGTTATTCTTTTGGATCAATATTACACATCATTTATTTATAGACTTGACATTTTGCTATTAACAACTAAGTTCTGCAATTATGCATAGTGTAAAATAAATCTTAAAGAACTTACAAAACATTATTACGTTACCTATAGATTTGTATGTTTAATTATTATCGTAAAATAAAAATATATGTTTTACTTAATTTTATGTAATTTTAAACACGTTTAAATAAAAAAACACTTAAATTGTTGTGTAAATATTTCTTTGTTAAAACATTTTTTTTTCCCGTTCCAAAAAAAAAATTATAGGAATTATGGTAGAATATATTTGTATATATTTTCTTTATGTTATATATAAGGTTCAATACAATTATACACAAATAAATCATCATTAACGGTAACTTTCCAATACACTTTTTATTTCAGTAATATATAATTATATACTTTGCAATGGTTACAAATGTGTAATACGCAAAAACACGGTTAATATTATACGTATCAATCAAACAACAATTTATACAACTATATTTTAGCATAATAGTTTTTACGAATGTATAATATTGGTCTGTATCGTATTTTGGAATATTCACAATGCCTATAGGAATATAATATTTGTATTATTTTACACAATAAAATGATTATCAATTAAGTACATCCAACATTACTATAATATTACTATTTGGTTAAGTACACAAATCAAAATACAATCTACAATAATAACCGAACATTAAAAGTTATTTAACAATAATAATTATTATTATTATTAATTAACATAAAAAATAATAACATATCAAGTTAGTAATTTGAAATTTTATTTATTTTATTTTGCGCGTGCGTTACCAAAACCAGTGACGGACACAATTAACGCTAAAATGAATTACTTTGAATTGCTTTGTACACGTTTTATCAAATATCATCACAATATTAGACGTACGAATAGAAAAATAAACTTTACAACACAGTTAGTTTGTGCATTTAATTACAATCGATAATAATAACTAAAAAAAAATTAAAAGCAATGTAAAACAAACAAAAAACAAAAAAAAATCAAAAACAATAATTCTACAAAAACATTTAACAATAATAGGGGCAAGTAGTAAAAATAATAAAAAAATAAAAACAAATATATTTTTTACGGAATGTATGCAAGATACTGTTATTTTGAGGAGAAAATAAATAAACCGTGAACTTGATTTTCGACACAATGACGGATCTCAATTATTATCATTATTTTTTTTTTTTTAATTTTATACAAATTATTCTACGTCTATCAACCATCGTGCAATACAAACAATAAAAATTTATACTATATTATATCTATGAAATATATAGATTAATGGATACACAAATTTAGTACACACATACAAATAAATATATATATTATATCTCTCTATAAATGTATTTCAAAATCTTAACAATTGTTGGAACATCGACCTGAAAATATTTGTGTTTCATTCTTGTGCGAAACCTTCGGTTTCCTCGATAGCGTAGTTGAGCTTCTCGACCAGTTGATCGTAGTTCTTGTATGGCGGCAAGTCGAGACGATTGAAACACGTGTGAGACCGCGGCAGCCACGAGTCCTTGCCGACTTTCTCAATGCAGAACCTTTGTGCGCCGTTGCTCCCTGATAATAATTAAATTTAAAAAAAATATATAGTTTATTAATTATTTGTAACACAAGTAGCGTTGGGTATATTATTATTTGACATTCTAACAGATAATAAAAAGAAAAAATTCATTTGACGCGTTTGCTTTTATCTGTTGGACCGATTTACTCAAGTAGCCTTCGGAAAGTGTACTTTGGCATGTCAAAAGTTAAAAAAAATTCACAGATTCCTATTAAAAAAAAAACCCAAAACACAATTTTCCATTATATCAAACTAAACTTCTAAGTTTAGTCAAGATTTCAACGACACAACTCGAGATATAATATAAGTTACAGGAAAAATAACACAAAATATTTTATTTAGCCTTATTAAGATTAATCGACTCACTTGATAAAAGTTTCGTAAAAATTTCAACTTGATCGGAGTTTTACCAAAATAAAAATAGAAAGATGAAAACTATGAAAACATTTTTTGGGTGTTTTCCCCAGTTTTGATTGGGGAAGGTGAACTTTTTCAAATTATATATCCTCTTAAGTAACGAATAGATACAATTTCTGAAATCGGTACGGCGGTTTTACAATTTATAGAAACTAATATGAAGCACTCTTGACAAATGGGGCAATAGGGGGGGGGGGGGTTGTCAAAATTAAAAATTCTTAACCAGTTTGTTTATTAAAACAAAATAAACAAATATAAGTTTAAAAAATAACGAATGAAAGGTAAGAAAATAATTTAATAGGTTCGAACCGAACAATTATTCGAACATAAATACATTTAAACAATTGTATTTGAAAATATTAAATATATAAATTTTTTTTAACTTTTATTCGTTATTTCAACATTTTATCTGGATAACAATTTTTTCCAACACTGTGAATATTGCAAACAACATACCCATCAGTTCAGCGAAACCTCCGACAGGTACTCTGCACGTTCCGGTCACAAACTGCAAGAGCCGTGCACGTTTTTCATTGTCTGCTTGCTTTACAAACTGCCAATTAAACAAATAACACAAACGGACATAAATATTTATAGCTAAGGCGTAAACTAGGTTTTTGGGAGTAAACATTTTTGCGTTAATAACATTTTATACCGTTAATCGTTATTATTAAGTTTGCCATTAAAAATAAGTTACAAGTAAAATATAAGTAATACTATTTAACACATAAATGCATTTCAGTTTTTAGTTCATAAGTACATATGAAATGTGATAGGGTTAAATATTAGTTAAATATGATCTTGAATAACCCGACAAGTTATTTTTTGGGTAGTTGGAAACTCATTTTTAAATAAAAATAAAGAGGTAAACGATACGTAATCGTCATACAATATAAAGTATTTATCATTCATCTTTAATAAGGTTTCTTAACCATAATATAAAAGCTGGTTGATATTTTGGTAGTTATTTAGGTACAAATACATATTATGATGCGTTTTACCTGCCAAAACCAGTTGATTTGTTTGCTGTTTCGATTGTAATGCCTGTAAATAGTGTTTTGTTGCCAGTCTTCGACGTCGATTTCCTGCATGCCACAAAGCATGAGCTCGAGTTCTCGTTCGTCGAAATATTTGAGCCATTCCAGCGCAACAACCTCGTTGAAACCGTCCAGTAGAGCTTGGGTCTGATCTTCGATTCCACGAGTCATCCGCCATTCAGTCATTCGTTTAATGTATTCGTCTTTGTTTTGTTCGTTGACTTTCACTTTGTCGCCGTTGTCGATGAGTTCGTGGTGTACGACTTGGCCGAGCACTTCGAAATCAACGCCAAAGTACATCTCAACGTCACTCTCTTCTAGGTTGTTGTCGCGCACCCAAACTAACGAATTGTAAAACTCTGGATCAATAGTCTCTATGTCTTTCATAGTCAGCTTTTTGTTCAACATGCGCTTGTAGAACGGCATCGTAAAACCAGAATAGATGAAGCGTCCGTGGTAAAGAGCCTAAAATTTTAATCATTATAATACCCGATCGATAAGTTTTAATGTGTTTGAATACGTACCATAGCGATGAAGCGACCGATAAATTTAAAGTACAATAAGTGATCTGGATTCACGTACGACGCAGGATTTATTTGCAAACTATAATTATTTTTGTTGGCGTACTCAAACAAACAGTACATAGGATTGAGTACTTCGTGGGACAATAAAAAGAACCATTCCCTGTTGAAAATATATATTATAATGTAATACAAACTGTTCAATCAAATTTAGCAAAATATTATAAGCGTACCGTGACACGCCACCATAATCTAATCCTTCTTCTCCGCGGAACACAATATACAATCGTTTTCTCATTTCGTAGGCGGCTGATCTCATTATCTGATGGTACGAATCTTCGAACAATGTTTGCCTGGAAACGGTTATTTTTATGTGACTGGATATCGCGTTGCTCTGGCACAAATATCGGAACTGACTTAGCTTCCAGCGGAACGATCGTTCGTACATGATTTGCAGTCCGTAAGCATTTCCAGTTGTACTAGATTGTAAATATAAAAATTAAAACATCTACTAACAGGTATACAGCAAGTGACATGTACACGTACCGGTAAATACCGTTAGTCTTAATACGAGGATCTTGAAAAGTGGTTGTGTGAGTGTTGTGATCGACAAAATACCTAACACCTTCATTGGTTTTCCTGACTTCCCAACCGGTTGGCAGATCTTCATCGTCGTCGAGTATTAGTTCGGATCTACATGGAATAGATTAGATCATTTTTAACATTGATCATAATTCTGGATATTATACAAAACATTTTGAAGAGATTGATAAAAAATTATCTTTTATCTAATCATTTAGTATTAAATTATTTATACAACAAAATGGTTATTTATTATTAGATTAATTTGATTTATTAAAATAAATAGTTTTATTTAATAATTGTTATTTGTTTAAATGTCTAATTATTTTAAATACAACTTATTTAATTAAATTTCATTTTTTTTAAAAATAAAATTACAATTATTATAAAAACAATCGAGTATTACCCTTGGGTTCGGGGATCCTCCCATTGAGTGATTCGACTCTTATGATTTACAAAGTATGTTCTGCCGTCGGGCTGCACACGCTTTTCCCAGCCATTGGGTAGTGCACCCATTCTGCGGAGTATTGTAGGATCGTCGTCTGGTACTTCTACAGGGGGAGCTGCAGCAGCTGGATCCGGTCTATTGTTCGGTCCTGATCCGGTACCTAAAGCATGCTAAAAAAAAAAAAAAATCATACACCCAAAGTTTAGTTAGTTACATTGTTTTAACATTCTAAACACCACTAAAGAAATCTAACAACATTGTCGTACTTGAGGGTAGAGGAACCGTTGATTTCCTTGCTGTACCACATGGGCACGTTCGCCCTGCCATTGTTGGTAATGCTGGAGTCGTTCGCTGTTAGGTCGCTGCCACGTAGTAGTGCGAGTGTTATGATCGACATAATAAATGCGGCCTCGGTTATCTCGTCGAACCTCCCAACCGATCGGTAAGGGTTGGGGTCGTTCCCAAGAAGTAGACTTTGTATTATGATCCACATAATACGGTCTTCCGTAGAGATCATATCTCATTTCCCAACTATAAAAAAAAAAATAATAATTAAATTAATAAAATACATTTTGAATCATTTTACAATGATGACATGGAATTTACAATGAAAGTTTTCTTAGTAGTATAATTTTATGGCGTACCCGTGTCTCTTATGGAAAACCGATAAAAAAAACAAAACAAATTTACAAATACAATAATTCTTTGACGCTTAGTCAAAAAAGCTCAAGTTTAAAACATAAATGTATGAACTTATAATTATGTAATTATTTTATTTGAAGTAAGTTAATTTATTGTTAACATATTTTTTAAATCAACATTTTTACATAACTCATTTTAATTTAAATCATTTCAATTAACTCTCTTTGAGATTTTGACTTAAATCATTCTTATATTAAATCAGAAAAAAGATAAGGATCAAAATCATCTCGCTTATGAAAAAAACAATGTTAATTTTAGAAAACAATAGCAACTGTAGTTTTTTTTTTTAAACATATTTTTGTTGGGGTTTTTACACAAGTCGACTAGTCAACATTTTCTGTAGAAAACTCTCCACTTGAAAAGTTAATGAAATGAACATGTTACTATACTTAAAAAAAAAAGGTAAAAAATCATATATTTTGAACACAATTTTTAAAAATCAAACAAAATGATTATGAACACATCTATTGACTATTGTCAAAAAAAATTATTTACTGGCCTGGCTTTTAATTAGGATTACTCACCCTGACGGCAATGGTTCTTCTGTCTGAACAGTCACGGTACCGTTTTGATGATGCACTGTAATCGTTCCTTGAATGGGAGACGTATGAGCTTCTGGCGTTTGAGGACCACCAATATCATTACTATGCGTCGGGCTACTGGTTTGATTATTTGACCCGCTCGGATCTAACACGGACATCAAGTGTAAACGACAATATTTTACATAAATACACTTTACTTGTTTTATAGTTATAATTAAGTACCTGTCGGTAAAGGCAAAGCAGGCGGAGCCGGAGGTATCGTGGTCAAAGAACGGCTACGGGCTCTGATCCCATGACTAAATTCATTATTAGACCCTACAAATAAAAAAAAATTAATAATAAACAACAATTACATACAAGCAAATAGTCGGTAGACAGTTAAAATATTGCACATTACCTGGTACATAAGTTACTCTTGTACCAAGATCTTGTGGCGGAGGCGAAACTTTAGTCATGTCAATTCGAACACCGTGTAGTATAGTAACCAACTCTCCAACTTTGATATTATTGTTGGCGGACGACGAACTCGACGTTAGATCATGGTGGCGTATTCTCATCAAATCTATAGTCAGCTCCAAATTATCACAGACACCATTATAATGACACAACACGTCATAGAAGTTTATGTCTTTTTCGGCGATAAGTACGTCTTTTTGAAATTTACAATAGTCTAGTACACGATAATGTAAAGTAGAATACGGCGTAACCATTCTACAATAACAAACAAAGGACGTTTTAATAATATTGTTAAATATTTATAATTAAGCTAAGATGTTGTCACGTTTTACTTGACTTACACAGTAAATTCTTCATTCCATTTGGGTTGATATGTATTTTTGATCACTTCAGTTTTATGCCTTTTGAAATCGTCGACGCTCAATTCAACATACGGATGTGGTTTTATCAATCCTCCATTGTTCTTTAAATGTGCACATTCGACTGAAAATAAGATAAATTAACACGTTGTTGCGTGTAGTCATTGGTTAAGTTTCAACTCGGCTTTTAACTTTGGTCTCACTATCAATACTTACTCGTGACGATTAGTTGATAACTGCTCTGGTCGGTAGGTACTCTTGCAGAAGGTACTCTCTCAGGAGTCGTATGTTCGTCGAGTGTGAACATTTTCTATTTGATTTTATTTTACACCCAGAAGTGAAAAAACATCCAGCGCTTGTTTAATTGCGTAATCTAAAATTCAAACTATTGTTATAAATATATATTTTAATATACATAAATCAAAATTGTAATCTTAATATAATTTGAAACTAAAAAATACAAAACAGAACGTTGGCTGAAAGAAGTTCCTACCACAAGAAACATAATTAAAACAGAAATTGTTTAGACCACATTTATTGGAAATACACATTTTCACAGAAGACGAGTTAGCGTTGTCATCCAATCGGATTGAGCGAGATAGATGCCTACATTTTATCACAAGAGTAAATAAGATAGCATCTGAGGACGAAGGCCAGTAAACTATTCCGTCATTGAAACAGACGACATGTGCCAAAGTGAAATCAAATCTGACCCTCAAAAAATTTTTTACCAGTTTACATACGTCATCATAGTATATTTTCTACCTTTAGTACATCGTCGTACCATTAAACAATTAATTTTAAACAATGGTTCTCTTTGTAACGTTTCCAATTTGAATTATTCTTTCAGAAAACATTTTTTATAAGGGCTGACGCTTGTTTCTTTAACACCATCTACTGAAACACTAAATATGTCTAACATACCGAGTTCATTATTTTGATTATACCAAGATGTGTATGTTATTCACAACACTTGTGTTTAATATATTATTTTTATTTGTCGAATAGGGAAAATAGATGAAATTGTAAAAGATTACATTTTTGTTATATTATTATGAAGAAAAAAAAATTAATTCAGATAACAGTGATATATTGTGATAGTAACAATAACACTTGAAATAAATCCATACGAAGGTCACTTAGTAGATTATGCTAATTTAATTCCTATTAAATGAATGATTAGTTTTGGAATTTTTATGAATGAATAGTCAAAATTCAACTAAATTTTTCTCATTATAATCAATTAGAGCAGTATCAAATTCTGTAAAACGTTCATACTTGATAAAACTCCAATTGAAAACAGGAAACAACAGAAGAGATTATTTGTAAAAACATTGTCACAGTATAAAAATAATAAATAATAAATGTCTCAGTGATACAAACTGATAATTATCTTTTAATCAATGATTTTTACCATTGCTGTCAGATAGGTTACAAAGAAAAATATATATGATTATACGCTTTAAAAAAAAAAATAATAATAACTTATCTATACAAATTGTACAGCTTATGTGCATAACAAAAGAAGGTCAGAAATTTCGCTAACCAATGAAATTGGTTCTAGTGAATACGACAATATTTAAACTTCACTCACCTCGACAAAATTATCTCTCGTCATAAAGTAGATAAACCCAAATGTCGTGATTTGTACACAAAAAATTCCTAGCCCGTTACACGCAATATTTCAGTAGATTGTTTTCTATAACGTTTAGAGCACTTTATATAATCGACAACTACCTTAGACACTACGTGTATGTATGCCCACTTGATGGCAATCAAACAAAAAGTACACAAAGAGGCGTATCGGGAAAACAACAGTGTGCAAACAATTTTGACAGGCACTCCAAATAAGCTTAACGAGGTAAGCCTAATGTCGTACAGCAATGCGGGCGACTCGCTTGAGCCCGCGACAACATCTTGCGATTACTTACCGACAGCGCATCCGATCGGACGAGCAAACCAGCCAACCGGGTGGGTTTGCGTCACGGACAGCGGACAACTTTCACCCGGACAACGTTGGGAACGCGACGGCACCGCCTAGACGTAACATTCGCGACGCGTCCGTTGGCCGATATCGTGGACGGCGGCGGACTTACCGGTTTCGGGCGGCTGCCTATAAAAGCTACTTGGACGACGGCCACTGAATCGGTTCGACTTGGTCGGCCGCCGACAAGAAGATAACGCGACACCCGACGTTTGTTTTTTATCGAGAAGCGCACGCGACGGCCGAAAAACCAACTCTACTGCAATACCGCGTTATTAAATTTAACTATTTTTGTTTTCTCTAAGTCTTCCGACCAATTAGAAAACTAATAATTCAAAATATTTATTATTATAATTATTACATCGCTCGCGCAATAATAATGTTATAGCTCACTGCTGATATTACACCATTATCGTCGCGGGTCGTCCGTCTGCGTTCGTGTGTGTGTGTGTGTGTGTGCTTGCGTCGCTGGTGGGATGTGTAATATATAGGTATAGTATTAGTGCGGTTAGTAATAGTTTGCGTTATCACCCGTGTAATGGGCGTTGAAAAGGACGGCCACGATTTTCGACGGTGCGCATCGGCGCGCACCGATGCGCACCGGTCCGCAACGCAATGCACCATTTGCAACATTCAAAAGGAAGCTACCCTTAATTAACCACTCTTCAATGGCCAATTATTTTAATATTATTTTATGATATAAAACTCTTTTACATAGATTAAACCATCAGAAATTCGAGAAAAATAAAGTACATATTTATTTGTTATTTAATTGTAGAGCAAAAAGCCAGATAAAATTTAATTTACTAGTTTGTTAAAACTATACATTTTTAATTTATGCCTACACTTATTAATGTTTTTTTTAAATAAAAATAATATTGGACTAATAATTAAAAAAAAAAAATCAACTACCACAAAGGGAAAATGTATTAGATAAAATTACATAATTAAAACTTAATAACATAAGCATGTAGGCAGTATAGAATTAAAAATCAAATATGTAATTAAAGTTGAGGGGGTTAAAAACTTGGGGTAAATACGAACAAATTATTTTTCAACAATGTTTACAAACATCATTAGGTATTTTTTTTTCTGCTGATATTTAAAACGAGTAAAATTGTAAATATACAAGTACATTACCACTGGGCAAATTTGGATAGTGAATTGACGGCTTGGTTGTCATTATTATATTCCAACTCAAACAGTGAAGTATTACCTATAATTTTTTTAATTCCATTACAATCGCCTTACCTACTTGAAATATTATTTCAAAGAATAAAATTCGGTTAACATAACAAAAATCGCAACAGTCTCATGTCGGTTGTGCTAGGTATATGGCCGGTTGTCTACCAGAAAATAATACTGTTATTGTTCAGTCATACTTCATGTGTGACTACATCTGATAACACACAAACAAATGATCGTTTGCGGATGCAAATAAATGTAGGTATATTAAAAAAAAAAATTTAACATGACCTCTACCGTAATAACATACAATAAAATAACAATAATACTTTGACTACAGGTTTTTTGAGAACACTGTATGTTATGTTATAGCTCCCCCCCTCCTCATCTAAATATATCTTCAGTCAAATGTTCAAACCTCTATTAGCTCTTAAACTAGGTCTTAAAACTCTTAAACAAGAGAAACAAAGAAAAGGTTTCCACCCTTTTTGGGGGAAAGGGGAAAATTCGAGAATAACACAACAAAAATATACAAATTTTACAACTTAAAATTAACAAAACGCTTTACATTTGTGAAAAGTAGTCAAATATATATATATTATATAAATCTTTTTTTTACTAAGAAAAAACCGGGAAAACTAAAACACAACAATTACAGCTGATACATTATAATTCTTATATAAAATTAAATAATGATTTACTTGTTGCGATTTTTCTTGGTGGTTATTTTACAATGCTATGAAATTTCCAAACGACCAGACAAAAAGTTTAATATAATATTCGGATCTTAAAAAATAATAAAATACATTTTACGTCTATTTACAAAAAAAAAATCTCTTTTTTTGCAAATCCCACTTTTAGAAGAAAATTTCAAATATACCACTTGTTTGTCGATAATACTAAGCTTGTAACAGCACAGAATGGTAGGTTTGGGTTCGTTTAATAGATACCAAAGACTGGAGACCATTTTTTTTCCCATCCCCATATTTGACATACTTATGTCGTTGGATGTCCCTTTTTAACATTTATAGCGATTCATATTATATAGGGTTATATTTAAATTGTCTTACCTAATTGGACGCTAGTCGAACATTCGGCGGCACCGGTGCACAGGTAATCTGTTGTCGTTTTTTATAATGAATAAAAAAAAGCTAAAACCAATAACTAGTATCTACACTAAAGCCGTTACACTGCGCTGACTGTTCTCATTAAATAACTGTCTCGTTGAGACTCTGTTAGTGGTATGCGTTAAAACAAACCACAAACTACAACCACTAGTATACAAAATATTGAGAGAAAAAAAAACACCTAAAATACAACCTACTCTGCTGCACTACAAACTTACAACTTACAAGTGGGAAGTTCCAGCTAGCTAGACGCCGCCGGCGGCCCGGGTCGCGCCGGGGCGAATGCCAGGAATAGTGCGCGCATGCTCGAAAACAGGGTTGCCAACAGCTATTCTACACAATATTGTAGCGCTTACTTACATCCAAGTATTGTACATTATACTTCTCCCCTAATGACAGTGGTATACTGGCTTTTTTTTTTAGTATGACGCTTCATAGTTTCTTTCATCTCCACCCTCAAAGAAAGGAAATTTTAAAAGCTTTACACCAAAGGAATATATAAACCCTTATATATTCCCTTTTTTTTTTTTTTTAATAACACACTCAGTAAATCTTTAAATCAACAATTAATTTTTTCTTATACTACCATTCATTCTTAGGCAATTTTATAATTATCATTAATACATCAACATTATTATTCATAAATAATTACATTATAATTTCAAAAATTCAAGTATTAAATCAAATAACTTTTCACCCTACTTTTGACTAAAGGATTAATTATCATTTTAATTAATTTTTGAAACCTTAAATCGTCAAAATATTTGTTCACTACATTTTATATACTTTTTATAATATGTAATCTCAATTAGTTCTCATTAATCACTTATACTCATAACTTATTTAGGTACTGCATTCTCTAGTACTTTTTTCCCAACAACTTGCATACAAATATCATTTTATTTTTCCTGCCTTAATTATATAGTCTTTAATATTTTAATAATTTTTTTTAATTCCCATAATACTTTAAAATATACTCTCATATAGAAAAATCGTTTAACATTTTTTTTTTAAAGTTGCATTTTTCAATCAATATTGTGTATATACACCATTTTATTTAGGGGAATCCCTCACCAAAAAAAAAAATAATAATAATAAAAATAAATAAAAAACGAGGATAAAAAAAATTAAATTACACTAATGAATTTCTAGTTCGCTTGTGTGAGGAATCAATAATCTAATAATAAATTTGGGGAAGGAGCGAAAAACGTACAGGGAAGACGTATGACCAATGAAAAACAAAACATTTTAAATTTGCAAGACAGTATACATTTATTGTGGTTTAATGGAAATACACTGTGTAAAGTATACATACTTAGATAATAATTACAAATTTATTGAACGTTTTTATTTTCGTTTTCTCTCTGGATCTCAGCTGTGTAATTAAAAATAAAAAAACAATCATCATTCGTAGCTCAAACATAACTTGTTCAGGGAAATCGATTTAACACAATACACTTGGATAATAGTTACACATTTATATGATTTCTTTTTGAAAAATGTCTATTTATTCTAATGTATATCTCGTATAAAATCATGAAATATTTCGCTTTTAGTTATAAAAAATGACGAAAAGGTAGGTATTGCCTTTACAATGATTTGATTATATTTTTTATCGTTTGAACGCGTATCCACGAGTAAGTGTTCAAATTGTGAATAAGGTCTGATAGTAATTAAAATATCTTCTTAGCTTCGATCGAACTAAAATTTAACATAGTTTTTTAGATTCTTCTATTTATTTTAAAAACTGTGCTACTTCGCGCACACGTGTGTTTTATATTGCCTATCCGTCACGAAGTTTCCAGAACATTCCATAATATGTGGGGTGGCACTACAAACTTATTTAGAAGTGGAGAAAAATTAAAATTAAAATGTTTGGAAAATTAACATAAAATTACATAAAAACACTATTAAAAAAAATCCAACTTATAGTTAAACCCTATGAGATATTGTTTGGACTTTGATAAAAAAAAACACCCTCTATGTATAAAACAAATGACTTGCATTAAATGAATTACTAGGTATCTCTCAAATAACTAGATAATCACTCAATATCTCACTGGGTTTAATTAATTTAATCAAAAGTTGCTATAAATAAAACTCATTTAGAAGGGGGGGGGGGATTTAAACATAAAAATTTGTGGAAAATTATGATAAAAACAGTATAAAAAAAAATTCAACTATTAGTTAAACCCTATGAGATATTGTTTGGTCCTTGACAAAATACCATGTATGTATGTATAATAAAGTTGGGTTAAGTTACCACAATCCTTAAAAATTTTCCAAACTCCACGATTGTTATCCCATGAAAAGTGCTGACCAGGGTGATGACCACAATGTTCATTACGAGAGTTGACAAGGGTAATACTTTCATAAACTTCTTTGCTATCAGGTCTACCTATCCATTTATATTCAAAATGAGTCAGATGACCATCACGATCAGGAAACCCTATATAAACATGTAAAGTAATTTGAACATTAAATACATTTTAAGTACGATGAAAATTATTAATCATACTTATTTAGTGTCAAATATAATTGTATTACCCTAACGTGCAAACAAATTATAGTGCACATAACTTACTAAGCTTTATGTATAGATACATAACATATTAATTAAGTACAATAAATAGTTTATGTTATAGTTTAATACTATATTAGTATAAAATATTTATGAAATTAATTAATCAAAATTATATTAGACATATTTTTACCATAAAACGTTAGAAATGTTATCCAAGATATTCAATATTAATCTGTTTTTATTGTGAAATTATTGATATTGTCACATAATGGAGCGAACACAATTATTAGTTCTTTCATAATTAAATAGATTTAGATAAACATTAAATAGATTATTACTTACACATAACTAAATAAACGTTAATAATTAAGCATTGAAATTTCCCAATTGTAGGAACTGATAATATGTATAAAGTAGTCATAAAAACATACCTCTTTTCATTAAGCTTATCGAACTATGATCTAAAAATAACAATAAAATAAAAGTTGGAATGGTCGACAAAATTATACATTTTGAGTATTATTTAGCTTATGTAATATGAAAATTATGTGTTAATGTACTTTAACGAGGTGTAGAATTCCAAAGCAGCCCCAAAAGTTACTTATATTAAAAATAATCCATTATTCCAATATAACGGCAGTTGGATTAATGAATTATAAGTAATCCACTAATCTAGAATTACTGATTTTGTTAAATTTTTAAAATTAATTAAATTTGTTATTATTACAAAAAACTTTATCATGATTTTATTATTGTTTATCTTTAAAATCTGAAAAATGTCATATTATACCATAATCAGTTTAACATTTTTAATATTCAACTTTGGGCTGATAAAGTGCATTACAGGTACATTTTTTATTTGTAGACTTGCTGCATGCAGAAAACGGCTCAGTGGTTAGGAGATATTATCGTACCTCCAGAAAAATTACTTTTAAAAAATATTTTTACGTATTAAATTTTTTGTTTATCAATATTTTTTTACCCATTACATATAAAAGAATATATAGAATTTAATAAACTAAATTCATTATGAAAAGTTTATACAATTTTTTTTTACCTAATTGTTCATAGTAAACTCCAAGATAGACGAATATTTGATTTTTACTTAAATAATTGTGGTTGGGACTTACACTGGATGAGAACCAGCGGATGACATTTTACCAGGAGTAGGCAGAAAATGTCTAAGTTGGGAATACATTCTAACTTAAGAGTTAAGATAATATACATAGTATATACAATATGTATATATATAATAATATAATATATATATATATATATATTATCCATTAGGTAATTACTAATTGCATAGGCTATACTGACCGCTTTCAGGAATTGGCGTTCCTTGCTCTGTGACGACGACAGGCTGGTCACCTAATTCAATCAATTACACAAATAAATTTACTGTTAACTAACTATAAATTGGCATAATGTGAAGTAGAAAATAGTACTGTAGTACATTTTTACATGCTTTTATAATAAACGTAGTACAGCTTTTACATGAAAAAATAGTATGTTTTTTATTTATCAGCCATTTTGTTTAGCTATGGTGTCAAGTAATACACCAAAAGCAAATTGATAAATAACTGTTATCTCTAAACGTACAGTTGTTTAGTACAAATGTACAAAATTAATTTAAAAAATATACGAAAAACTATGTACAGCTTATTACCTTCTGTAAATTTTGAGTTTATACTTACAGATTTTACATTTCATAACTGTGACCAAAATCAAAATAACCAAATTAGGTGACAATATAATTTCATATTCACGTAAAAAATGTTGTTTGAACATTTTTAGTAGGTCTTTAAGTACTTAACTCGTTTAAATAATGTTTGCTAACATTAAAAGTGTGTAAACAAAAGGTTTTAAAAAACAAAACTCTTTTTTGGTGCATCTTTTACATTAAAAAATAAATAAATTTTAATTGAAATATTTTAGTCGTTTCTATCTGTATATATATATATATATATATATATATATATATATATATATATATATATATAATTATAAAACGTACACATTTTAAATATCACAATAGTCTATACTGACCTGTTTGGGCGTTCGAATAACTTCCACCTAATCCAACAAATAGTACAAAAAAATGAATGTTATATTTTTTGCTATATTATTATATTAGATACTAAAATACCATAATATTATAGTGTTTGATTCATTTCGGATAATCATTCTGAGAATGAACAATTGTAAAAAAAATACAAATAAATATTACCGGAAAATGATTCCAAAATAATACCAGCCATAAAAAGAATAGCGATGTTTTTCATAATGTAGTAATTGTTTTTTTTTTGAAAGAGCAAATCGTACGAACGACAACCTTAAAATATACAGAGATAAATGTAAATGAACATAACACTATACATTATTTAGCAAGTGTTTTACCAACAGTATAGACACAGTTTGGTTAAAGTGTGACGCAAGTGACTATGTTATTTGTACAATAGCACAACGAGATATGTTCCTAAAAAATATATACAAAGAGACTTATTAGTAGACTATATTAATTATATTTTATTCTCAAAGTGTTAATATATTATTCTTCTAAATGAACAAAATTTTTATACATTATTTAGCAATTGTTATTCTGACTATATAGATGCTGTTTTCTATTTGGAAAAAAAAATTCTATATAGACAACTCTTTGAAACATGTTTGCAAATTTTATATTATCCATACATTGTAAATGAACATTTTTGTTGGCCTTTTTCATCATTTTTAATTCTCAAAATAAATTTGTAGATATGGACACATGTGTCATACATTATCGACAAACAAATTATTATTTCAAAAGAACTGTAACTTTTTATTGTAGTTGATGAGCCATTTTTGTTTTTATAAATCCAGATATTGAAAATATTATGGAATCGATGCTGACTGATAATTTTACCATCTACAAATTCGAAAACGTTAATTTGGAAGTGTATTTATCACTTCAGTATACATTTGGAATCGACCTTTACCAAATGAATAAAGATTATATTTGTGGTGCCTAGAACACAAGGGATATATTATAATAGCATGTGCCTAATATAATATACCCCTTGTGTTCTAGGCGCCACATTTGTAATTATTTCTTTATTATTTTAAGACGCCGAAAGATAATGTGTAAGTTGGTTCTGTTATTTATAATATGTATTAAATAAAACAATTTAAAAATTTATCTACAATTATAGTAAAATCCGGGTTCAACAACGATGCAAGAAAATCAATAGTTCTAACATACATGTACACATATGACAAAACAAAATATTTTAAGAATCAACTTGTTTTCGAAAAAAAATAATAATAGTTCTGTTGTAGTAGTTTTAGTAATGAATAATGTAAAACTTGAAAATGTATAATACCTACAGTTGTTTGTTATTAATATACATTGCAACAGTTTTTTGTGAAAAGCAAAAATATAAAACTATACAAATTGTTGAAAAATACTGTACAATATAATGTAAGAAAGTAAATTGCTTGCTTTTGTGTAAGCATAAGATTGAAATAAAATTCATAACACAGGTTGAATGCAGAAAACATTAATGGTTAGATCTCAAAGGGGCAAGGGCACTACATTTAGTTATATGACTAATATGGTGAAGTAACATAAATTATATTAGTATATGTAATGTCATAATACTTTAATTATTTTAAAATAATTTTAATAAATATTTGTTTTCGATCAAAACGAAACTATACATTTGATTTTTTTTGTTCAATATGACATTGTTGATAATGTTAAATTTTAAAGATTGCAACAACAAACATTCATAGGTATTTGTCATTTGTTTACATTACTGCAGTAATTTCAGAAAAACATTTGCATACACAAACGACAAAACAAAATATGAAAACAACTTGTTTTTGCTAAAGAGGAATAATAAAGTTCCCAACAGACATTTGTCATTTGTTGTGAACTAGTCAAAAAGATACGTGTAGGCAAAATGTATTAAAAATTATAGCAAATTATAGCAATTTAATATGTCAATAAAATTAAAACATATAAAAATATAATATTAAATAATAATAGCTTCTATGTCTAAGTTAAGTTTGGGAAACCAATATAATTTATATTTTGTACCGGGTGATTGTTTAACTATGACCCACTCAATGTGTTAGAAGATATAAGACCTTTTTTAATTTTTTTTTTTCATACTTTTATAGGTGGGACAAATTTGATATATTTTTCAAAATTATAACACCATCCCTTTAGCGTTAAAACCATAACAGCTTTAGATTTTAAAATGGACCAATAATTTTTTTTTTTGATGATGATTTATTTTTTTTTAATTTAATTTTAGGTGTAAAAACTAGCAAAATTCAATTGAGTAGTTAATGAGATACAAATTTTTAAAATTACGGGATTGCAAAAAATAAAATACTACTTTAAATTTAGGTACTTAACATTTTTTTTTAAACGTTTTTTTAGACGTCAAAATGAAACTAAGTAATACAAGTATTAAATGTATTTTTAAACCCTATGAGATAAAAGAACTATCCTGTATATTCGTCTCAATACGGAAAAACGAAAAACTTCAAATATCGTAAGTAAAGTATGAAGAGTGAAATACATAAAGTACTGAGATACGATTAGTTTTCAGTGTATATATATTTTATACTGCTATAATTTTAACTTGACAGCGTTAAGATTTATTATTTTGTAATGGATGATTCATTATGCATAATTTTAAAATAATCGTACAATTTCTATTAAAATAATATTATAATGGACGGGACGGGGTGGGGGTACCACTTAAAAAACTAACTAAAAACCAGGATAAGATTAAATTACACTCATCAATTTCCAGGTCTCTTGTGTGAGAAAATCAATAAACTAAAACATTTGTGAATGGAGCGAACAACAAGGTAGGACACGTGAAAAAAAAAACATTTAAAATTTGAAAGACAGTATAAGTTTATTGTGGTTTAATGGAAATACACTATGGATTTTGTAAAGTATAAATGATTATTTAGATAAGAATTGCAAATTTATTGAGTGTTATTCTCTTTGTTTTCATTCATTTTTATCTCTTCGTTTTCACTCACTTTTATCCATTTGTTTTCACTCATTTTTATCTCTTCGTTTTCACTCTGCATCTTCTTCTTTGCTGTGTAATTTATAAAAGAAACGACATCCTTTTTCGCAGCTGAAACATAAATTGTTCAGGGTAATCAATTTAACTAATTTAGCAAGGGGGATAGAAACATAAAAATATGTGGAAAATTATGATAAAATTACATAAAAACACTATTCATATAACTAAAAATCCAATTATTAGTTAAACCCTATGAGATATTGTTTGGACCTTGACAAAATACCCTGTTTTATGTAAGTATATTAAAGTTATGTTAAGTTACCACAATCCTGAGTAACTTTCCAAACTTCATTATCTTTATCCCATGAAAAGTGCTGACCAGAGTGATGACCACACGGTTTACCATGAGAATAAAGGGTAATAGGTTCATAAACTTCTCTGCTATTATGCCAATCTACCCATTTATGTTCATAATGAATCAGATGACCATCATGGTTAGGAACATGGTTAATATGGTCCTTGAAATGTTTGAGCACTATACAAACATGAAAAGTAATTTGAACGTTTTATAATTTTTAAGTACAACAAAAATTAATAATCAAACTTAAAATTAACACTAATGTTAAACTTAAATGTACCAAATTAGTGGAAACAAATTATAGTGCACTAAACTTACACAACTGTATGTATGGGTGTAAAACTTATTAAATATTTGTTCACATTTAACTAGAGTACAAAAGCGTTCTGCCCCTTTTTAAAACAAAATTCCATTAACTATTAATTATTTGACAAGTTCGACGTATTTTACACGGACATTAAATAGATCATTACACACAACTAAACAAACGTAAATAGTTAAGTACTGGAATTTCCCAATTAGAGGAACTGATAACATGTATAAAGTGATCATAAAAACATACCTCTTCGCACTAAGCTTATCGAACTATGATCTAAAAATAACAATAAAATAAAAGTTAGAATGGCCGACAAAATTATACATTTTGAGTATTATTTAGCTTATGTATTATGAAATGTATGTGTTTATATATTTAAATGAGGTGCATAATTCCAAAGCAGCCCCAAAAATTACTTGTATTAAAAATAATCCGCTATTTCCATATCATCAAATAGTCCAATATGGATTACAAGTATTCCATTAATCTAGGATTACTGATTTTGGTAAATTTTTTTAATTATTTAAATTTAAAATGTTTAAAAAATTTGTCATTTCAACACAATGTCTAGCTGAAATAAAATAAGGATACATAATCCATAATTCTTAATACAATATTTTAGATTACAAGAATAAAATAAGTAGTACTTTTTAAATACTACTTTCTAAAAAAACAAATAATATTTCTACATTTTAAATTTTGGCAATTTTTTCCTCCCATCACATGTTGAAGAATATGTAGACATTTAATGTACTACATTTATTGTGAAATAATTTTATAATTATTAAAATGTACGTGCTATTTTTGTTAACCTAATTATTGTTCACAGTAAACTCCAAGATAGTCGAATATTTTATTTTTACTTAAATAATTGTGCTTGAGACTTACACTGGATGCGTATGACATTTTACCAGAAATAGGCAAAAAAGGTCTAAGTTCGGTTGCCTAGCCATTAGATCATTACTAATTTCATAAGCTATACTAACCTTTTTCAGGAATTGACGTTCCTTGCTCTATGACGACGACAGGCTGTTCACCTAGTTCAATCAATTACATAATTAAATTTACTGTTACCTAACTATAAATTGGCATAATGTGAAGTAGAAAATAGTACTGTAGTACATTTTTACATGCTTTTATAATAAACGTAGTGCAGCTTTTACATGAAAAAATAGTATGTTTTTTATTTATCAACCATTTTGTTTAGCTATGGTGTCGTGCAATACACCAAAAGCAAATTTACAAATAATTGTTATCTCTAAACGTACAGTTGTTTAGTACAAATGTATAAAATTAATTTAAAAAATATACAAAAAAATGTATTACGTGCTGTAAATTCTTAGTTTTTACTTACAGTATTCACATAACTCAACTGTGACAAAAATGAAAATAACAAAATTAGGTTTGAAAATAATTTCATATTCACGTAAAAAATGTTGTGTGAAAATGTGTAATGAGTCTTAAAATACTTAACTCGATTAAATAATGTTTGCTAACTTTAAATGTGAGTGGAAAAAAAAGGTTTAAAAAATAAAATTATCATTTGGTGCATCTTATACATGAAAGAAATACATTTTTATTGAAATATTTTAGTCTTGTCTGGCTAAACTCGGTGCACCTTGCATACAGTAACTCAATATCAGAGTCAGAACGGTTTGAAAAGCTCCAAAGCCGAAAGTTTCCCGTTAAATCTGACATCTTGACTTTTAAACTGTAATCACTTGGTCTCCCAAATCAATTACTTAAAACCATCATATCATTAATATTTAATCGAGCGTTTCAAGGTAGAGTGTATAAAAACTCCAACTAACACCGCAATGCGCCAGGCCAAGTTCCAGCAATGTCAGTGTATCTTTACACAAACCATTTTACTCAGTTTTTCGAACCCGCATACCTGTGTTTCCTTTTAAGATAAGCTTTTGACATTTTTTAACAAAGATTAAGCTCGAGTATCTTAGGATACTGTAAAATTTTGAGCCCATAATGGAAAGCCTTTTCAAAAGGGAATAATTACAAAGTTTTTATTTTTGTTACTGACTCACACATCATCAAAATTATAAAACACTTCTTGTTTGGGCGGAAACGTGAAATTTAGCACAAAGGTAGGTCTTATAGTGTAACTAAAAGAAAAAATCTGAAAGATGCAATTTTCTCAAAATTAATGCCGCTTTAGTAGTTCTAACGTACATGAATATGGTTTTAATTAGCACGGGTTTTTATTAAATAAACACAGGTTCCTGCGCCGCCGAAACAAATGTTCTCCTTTAAATAGTGTAACAATATTATGGCAATAAGCAGTTGTTTGTTATTTATAGTAAATACTTATCAAACGTAATGTTTTGTAATTTTGTTGTATTTTATTTCATTTGAAGTAAAACCGAGAAATAAAAATTGAGGTCTTTTTTTTAATAACTCATTTGCGTATGCAAATGAGTTATTAAAAAAAAAAAAAAATCAATATATATTACAAAAAAACCTGAAATAACTCAGTAGTCTTTACTGGCCTTTTTTGGCATTCGAATAACTTCCACCTAATGCAACAAATAATACAAAAAACCTATGAGTAATGAAATCAAACGGGCTCAAATATATTTTTCAAAATAGTTATTCAATTTACTTAGATAGCTATAAAATACATATCATTTGTTGTATTATTTGCTATCATCCTAAGAATGAACTATTGTAAAAAAAATACAAATTACCGAAAAATGCTTCCAAAATAATGCCTGCTATAAAAATAATAGCGATTTTTTTCATAATGTATGTAAGTAATAAATTGTTTTATTTTGAAAGACCCTGTAAATTGTACGATGTACAACCTTAAAAGACACAGAGATAAATACAAATGAGCATAATATTATACATTATTTAGCAAGTGTTTTACCGGAAATATAGACACAGTTTGGTTAATGTATGATTCAAAAGACTATGTTGTTTATACAATAACAAAGCGATACATGATTTTAAAAAACCTGTGAAACAGAGCAAACATTTTGTTAGGAAAAAACAATTTCGGTTAACGTTGAAAATACAATTATTAATAGCTTTAAATGTACCGAATAATAAAAATAATAATTGCAAAAATGTCAAATATTCCAAATATTTTTCGAATAGAAAAAGTAAAAAAACGTTTGTTGATAAAATTGTCATATCGAAAGAGACTTATTGATAGACTATATTTATATTTTATTCTCAAAGTGAATATCTCACACATTCTTTATTCTCAAAAGAATATATTATTTCGAATATATTGAGCTAAAATATTATACCGAGCCTCAAGTAAAGAAATATTTGTTGATCGAATTCACTTGCCGAAAGAGTCTTTTTAATAGTCTATAGTTTTATTCTCAAAGTTTTGATGTACTATTCTTCATGTAGTTTATATTGAGAACGGGCGGCTGAATGAGGACTGTTGGTTTAAATGTAGTCACACGTTTGACCATAATTTACTTACTAAGAATGGCAATCACATTCCCATTAAATTTCCAAATGGTATGGAAAAAGTCTATATTTTATATATCTATAATTTATAATTGGTGGTAATTCCTAAATACGTTTTAAATTTGATCTATTATTATTTATACTGGATATTTCCTTTAAGGATATTCCAATAAACAGTTTTAATTCTAACAGCGTTTTATTGAATTAACCACAGGGCTTAAAGTGGGAAAAAATTACAGGGGGGACTAATGTCTACATATAGTTTTAAGCGTTCCATATATAATTTTATGTATAATGCATATAGTGTATGTAATATAGAAACAGTAATTGTGTAACATACTCATCCCACTTTTATCCCTGAATAGTGTTCAAATTTGTAATTTATTTCATAAAAAAATGTAAACTACAAATAATACAACATTTTTTAAGAATAACTCGTGTTTTATACAAATTTAACATTTTGAAAGAGTATATTTTTTCTTTTAATATTAAGTTGTAAGTAGTGGTTGTCTTTTAAGAAAACTAAAAAATCACCCAGACAAAAAATATATAAATCATAAAAATGTAATGTTTTTAGTGCTTTAAATTGTACAAGAAAAAATTCAAATTCTACGCATGGTCGGGTGAGTATGCTTAAAAAAATCACACATTCACACTTTACCTATATATATATATATATATATGTTATCACTTATGGGTTAATCGAATACCTATTTATCACAGTATAGCCACTTACAATAACTAATAAAATCAATTATTTTTACACATATATTAGATAGTCCATTATTTGTATTAAATACATTTGATAAAAGTAAAGTAACAATTGATAAAAAAATAAAAACCAAGATTTAATCTCAACGGAATTCTGAATTATATTGACTAATGTTTGGTTATAATTGGAGCGGTACGGCGTACCTTACGAATATTTTTAGAACTGTTCTATACTTTTATGTACATATTTTTCAATACTTTGTAATTTTTATCTTTATCATAAAACAAACATCGACCTAGTTTTTTTCAAACGGCAACATATGTTTTTAATTCTATAAACGCGTAGACAAAATGTATTAAAAAATGTTAGCTTTTGAATTGTTAATTTACACCAATCTGTTTTTTTATGCGTTGAATTAGGTTTCAACAACTTGTTTTCAATAAAAAGAACAATGATAAAAGTATACGGATTATTTTTTATTTTGTAAAAGTATGACAAAATGTATAATGAAACATACTTGAAAGTATGTGATGCTTAAAGGTTTTGTCATAGTTTTACATTTCAATAGCCATTGTAGACAAAAACTAGAGCTGGATTTTTATTTTACAACCCAACTTCCCAAAATTGTATCGAGATTAGTTTACTAATTTTATTTTTGTAACACTTTTCCGGTTTGCAGCAGTATTTAAAAGCATTAAGTCACAACTTTCGTAAAATAAAAATTATTTTTGTAAAGGATATATGACATTTTTTTTGTCGTTACTTTTGATTATAATTGAATTGTAAGGCTCATCTAAGTAAACCATTGAATCTACTATTAATTAATTCCTACATTTCTATATTACATTATATCATAAGTATATAACGAACATTTTTGAACAAACATAATAATTTTAAAAAAAACATGATGATGCGGCAAAATTTGAACCATTGTTAGGTTATCTGTGTATCTTGTACTAAAATACTTAAATGATCTATTTATAACAACACTATATTAAACAGGACTTATTGTACATACACTATTAAATATTAAAAAATAAATTAAATCTATTTTCAGTCGTCGGTCCCAGTTAGAACTTGCCTCCAAAAAAATATATATCCTTTTTGATAAATAACTAAATTGTTAAGGACTTAATGATTCAAACACACAATAAGTATCCTTGAAAACAAAGACTATTATATTTTTATGCTATACATTTAATTACTATACGTCCTTAAAAATCGACGATTTTGTTTATAGTTTCAAAATACTCGTATAATTTATTTTGAATTTTCTCTTAAAATAATATTATAATGGACGTTAAGTTAAGTTTAACAACAATAAGTAATAACAATTCAAATCAAAGAAAAAAAATATTTACCATTCTCTTTATAAAATTATTCCTTACCGAATTGACATATTTTAAACAGCGATAATTATAATAATTATAATTTTTTAATTATATTGATTTAATATTGTCAATTCCCAGGGTTAAGTAGTACAACTTGTTCAAAAATATATGATATAAACATTTAAAAAATATATTATTTTACCATTGAAGGCTTATGTAACTTTTAATTTTATTTTTAAAAAAACTACGAAGAAAATAACGTACAAAAATTAACTTAAACAAAGGTAATTATTTAAAATTGAATTCTTCACTAATTGCAGTTAAACTTAATTAAAACATGAAATAACACCATTAAAAAAACAATTGTTCAAAAATGTGTACTTATGCCTGATATGATTTGAGAGAAGATCTGTATTTAAAGACATTTTTACATATATAACATTTATAGGGCTATTTGCCGGTGTGTACACGCTCGTGTATCTTCAGTTTGTTGAATTGGTAAAACACTTTCTCGCAGATACTACACTTGTGTAATGACACTCCGGTGTAAATGGGCTCGTGACATTTCAGGCTAGAACTTTGGCTAAAAGTTTTATCGCAAACTGTACATTTGAAAGCCTGGACTCCTGTATGGATAAGTTCATGTGACTTGAGGACATTTCTATGGCGAAATCATTTCTTACAGACACTACATTTGTAAGGTTTTTCTCCTGTGTGTACGCGTTCATGAGACTTCAAGTTATAGTTTGTGCTAAAAGTTTTATTGCAGACAGTACATTTGTGTGGTCTATCACCTGTATGAACACGCTCGTGACTTTTTAGGTTCGAACTTTGGCTAAAAGTTTTATCGCAAACTGTACATTTGAAAGGCTTCTCGTCGGTATGTAC